GGCATTTCTGCTTTTTTTGTTGTTTTTTGTATTGACTTTGGGTAGGTTCAAAACTGGCTGCCAGCTCTGGGGTTTCCTGCGCTTCGGTTTATTTTTCAAGAGACGCTCATAACACCAGTCAGACTTGGGAGGCGGCAAGGAGGAGAAACAAGCTTTGCCATGTGGAAGCTATTTTGCGACTAACACAGCGGAGGGACTGATTGGTCTGCCCCTGGAGCCGAATTTGCATCTAGCACCTAGCAAACCAAATGTCGTCCCAGACTGTTCTCGTTCGCCGATGAGCCGACCACCTTTCAAAAACTGGATTGATCCTGGGATTCCGGGAGGGGTGTGTGTGTGTGTGTGTGTGTGTGTGTGTGTGTGTGTGTGTGTGTGTGTGTGTGTGTGTGTGTGTGTGTGTGTGTGTGTGTGTGTCAGTTCTGCAACTCTCAGTGTGCGAAAAAGGAAGTTTCTGAGCAGGTGTAAACTGTCATAACACCCCTGAGGTGAGGGGAATGCTATTTAGCTGAGCATTTCTTCCCCCCACCCCCTGTTTTTCATTCCTATCATTTCCCAGAAAGGCTCTGCTGAGATGAGAGAGCAGGTTTCACCATCCTACAGAAGACGCCCGAGGTTTTACCCACCTTCCTTACACAGCCCGCGGCCAAGACTTTCCAAAGGCACTAGTGCTTAGTGCCTCAGTGTTGGGGTGCCTGACTCCAGGGGCCTGAAAGAGGCTTAATTGTCATTAGGGTGGAGAGCCTGCCCTCTAAAAACCAGGCCCCCAGCAGGTGTCCTAAGGGGGCTGCCCTCACCTTTGAAAATCTTGATCTGTGTGTGTGTGTGTTGGCTGGTCCCCGCTTGGAGCACAGCAAGGGGTGGGGAGAATCCAGAGAAGCCTAGCTAATTGCTGCACCCTTTACCCACACAAGCCGACCCCCGGGCCTTCCAGGGGGGTGGCAGGTGCCTTTCTGGGTCTCCTAAGCCTGGCTCAGTGGGAAGGGAGATAGCTCCCAGCACGAGTGGGGTGAAGGAGGCTAAAGAGCAGAAAGCCTTAGCACTAGCCAGAGGAGTTCCGGGTCACACATCTCTCGAGGGATGTTACCTGAGGAGATGTTAACCAAAGCCCGTTAACACATGAGAGGGAGATGAAACGAACGAGGATCGCAAACTCTGCAGCTCGGAGCGCTCTTGGCCCCTTGGTGCCATGCCGTGGGGGGAAGGCGCACAACGCTCACCCGAACGGGGATTCAAGCAGCAAAAGCAGGCTCCTCAGCCTCTGGTTCGCCCTCTCTAGGAGCCTGTAGGAGCTGCCGTCGGCCCTGCCCCATCCCCACACAGTCGGGGATCTGCCCTTGGCGGGAACACCAGCACTGGGGAAGCAGAGAGACGGGGAAGAGGCGCTCTCCATGGCAGGCTGGGGATCTCTAAGGGCAGGCCAGCCAACAGGGTGGGGCAACGGGAGCTGTCGCCCTGGGACCCAGTGATTCTCAAAGGCCTGGGCAGCTGGAGCCATGGGCCCTTTGATTTGCCACTGGACACTGCACTGCATGCTCCAGGCAGTGCTAAGGGCTGGGTGGGAGGTGCACCGCGGTCCAGGCAGGGCTGAGGGCTGGCTGCCCCCAACCCCGCCCCTTCTTCCCAAGGCCCCGCCCTTTGCAGGGGCACCGAGCATGCCCCCCTCTGCTTTGCCCAGGGGCCTGGTGAGGCTGTTGGGCCCGCTGCCTAAGGGCTAAGCTCATTGCTAAGTAGGGTTGCCAGATGGTTTCAACAAGAATACCAGACATACTTGACGTGACATCACCATCGACATGACGTCTGATTTAGAAAATACCGGACACGTCTATTTTCTCAGTTTGGTTCCCGAACAGATAGCTCAAATACTGGACTGTCCGGTTCAAAACCAGACACCCGGCAATCCTACTGCTAAGCCAACACCCTCACCGAAGTCAACGTGGGGTAAGTGAGCAGGCCGAGATGTGGCTGTGGGAGTCAAGGGAGCAGGGGCCAGCCCAGGGAGGGTTTGGTTTTCTTTGCAGCTCTCCCAGAATCCATTGCCAGGGATCAGCTCAGCTAGTTCCCTGAACTGAATTAAGTGGAAACTTCTGACAGAGGAGAGTATCCAAAAGCCCAGGATTGGGGAGATTGTATAGGGTGCCAGACGATTTACAAAAATACTGACCACCACCACTACCCCCCAAAAAAGGGGAAGAAAATTCTGTTGAGGGGGAAAAAAGGGGGGAGACTAAAAGAAAGAAAGAAAGAAAGAAAGAAAGAAAGAAAGAAAGAAAGAAAGAAAGAAAGAAAGAAAGAAAGAAAGAAAGAAAGAAAGAAAGAAAGAAAGAAAGAAAGAAAGAAAGAAAGAAAACAAACAGCATGGCCCCTTTCAGTGTGTGCAGTCAGAATAGGGATAGGAACAGGGGAGAAGTTGAGCACTAAGACCCAGGGAAGGCATTGCTTCCCCATGGTCTTTAGGCTTTTTGTCGGCGGCCATTTTGTTTTCTTGATCAAGCCAGAACGCAGCTTCCTTGCGGAACCAGGTAAGCAGGGAGTCTGGGGGTGGGGGGTGTCGGGAGGCCAGGGGCTGGGCCCAGTTGCCAAGTAGGTTATAGGGTTGCCAGGTGTCTGGTATTTTCACCTCCTGGTAAGGGAAAAAAAACAGAAAATACCAGACATTTTAGGTGTCCGGTATTTTCTGAATTTTTTTTACCGGACAGGAGGCGAAAATACCGGACTGTCCAGGTCAATACCAGACACCTGGCACCCTAGAGATGTACCCATGCCTCCTACGCTTACCTCTGGGGACCGGGAACAAACAGCACCACTCTAGAGCTGTCACAGGCCTGCAGCGAGGCCTGCTCAGACTGGCCGGACTTGACACATGCTGCTTTTCCCTCACAGAGGCCTGTCTCTTCAGTTAAATAATACCCTGATGTACTTAGGCTGCATTTAAATTTACCACACCGGAAATCGATCTTCTGGCATTCGAGTTAGCAGGTCTAGACCTGGCCTTAGTAACTTTTCCATTACGCTGTTGGGATCTTACAGCTATTCTTCCTACAATCCAGCGGTGTGATATATTCGCTATATACCCTGCATACAGGATTGCTGTGATATGTAGCTATCAAGGGGTACGTCTAAACTACATGCCTCCGTCGACGGAGGCATGTAGATTAGATAGATCGGCAGAGGGAAATGAAGCCACGATTAAAATAATCGCAGCTTCATTTAAATTTAAATGGCTGCCCCGCTCTGCCGATCAGCTGGTTGTCGGCAGATCGGGGCAGTCTGGACGCGACGCGCCGACAAAGAAGCCTTTCTTGATCGGCACAGGTATGCCTCATGAAACCAGGTTTACCTGTGCAGATCAAGAAAGGCTTCTTTGTCGACGCGGCGCGTCCAGACTGCCCCGATCTGCCGACAAACAGCTGATCGGCAGAGCAGGGCAGCCATTTAAATTTAAATGAAGCCACGATTATTTTAATCGCGGCTTCATTTCCCTCTGCCGATCTGTCTAATCTACATGCCTCTGTCGACGGAGGCATGTAGTCTAGACACACCCAAGGAGAAAAATCTACTTCCCTTTGTGTTGGGGGTGAAAGATGGAGGGAAACAGTGAACTCTACAGTTGTTGGCACAATGTTTTCTGTTAGTTCGCATGACGGTCCCTGTAACGGTTTGAAGGCTGCTGTAAAAAAAAATTGCATTGTGCTTTGTGAAGAGTTCATTTCAAAAGACATTTCCTTCCCTGTTGGGATGATGTACTCTATGAACAAACGTTCAGATCCTGTTTATTGGCATCTAGGAAAAATTAGGGACACAGACAGAAACCAGATTTTCTAATCCTGCTGTTCGTTTTGCAACGGAAACTACTTTTGATTTCGGCTAGAGTTGTGAAGAACTGGCCAGCTCCAATCCAGACAGGTACTTGACCATCTGCCTTCTTTTAATGACAAAAGTAATGCCATGAGTAGCAGAGTAGTAGTCAATTCAAATCACTGAAATCAATGGAGCCACTCTCTTGGTTCAAGCTAGGTCCATGCTGAAAAGCCTTGGTGAATCAAGCCTTAAGGATTGGCCTCCATCAGAGGGTAGCTAATTACTTCATGTACTCATACTTGGCATATACTTAATTTTTTAGGGCCCAAATCCCAAACAGCTTGGGTGAAATCCAGACTCCATTGAAGTCCATGACAATTTTGCCATTGGGCCAGGATCTCACCTCTTGTGTTTACGCAGGGTGGTTGTTTTTTTACCACCCGGGGAGTTTTCCTGAGAACAGACCATTTGCAAAATATGAGTGTAAACCAAATAAGAATGTCTGACTTTTAGGCCTTTGGTTAGCAAGTCTAATGAGAATGACTTTGGACGAAGGTACTGAAATTCCACAGTGCGTCACGTGGCTTTTTTTGCGCAAAACAAATCCGGCTCCTTTTACAGCCAATGAGAAAACAGACTTGTGCAAAGGAAGCCCCATAAGGAAACAGGGGAGCCCCACTTCCTGTTGCACCTCCCTTACCAGCAATGGAATTGGTCCACGCCACCTTTCCATAACCGCACAGTCAGAAGAGGAGACAGGGCGGAAGGCGGAGCTGGGGGCTGAAGTGGGGGTGGGGGAGAAGTAGGGTCTAGAGGCAAAGAGGGCAGAGCCGGGCTCAGTGTGGAACAGAGGGCAGAGTAAAGGTGAGGCAGGGATGGGGTAGAATGGAGCTACAGCTGGGACAGAGAGGGGCTGAGGCTCCTACTACACACCCTACGGGGCTGGTCCACATCCTGCTGCATGCCCCCCGCACCGCAAACATTTCCTTGACCCCACAATTTCGGGAACACTGATCTATTGAGAGATGAACATCAGTGGGAAATGAACTATCCATATTCACCGAGAATGTGTGTCTGATTTCAGCATATTCATTACTCAGGATGTCCAAAGATGTTCTTGCCTCTCCCAAAACGTGCTTCTCAGCCAGTCAGGGCAAAGTTCATACGTGGAAAAAGTATCAAGTCACGGCTGCTTCTCTTACCTTCCGCTGAGAAGGAAGCCAATCACGACTGCCAGCAGGATAATCCCCACGGTTACCGACACGGCAATGATAGGGATCTGGCTCTGATCACTGGATGCAGCTACTGCTGAGATGAGAAACAGAAAATGAAGGTGCAAGTTAAAATTAGAGCCCACACTCACGAGAGTCTTTATTTCAGGGGGTCGGACATAAGGCAGTTTGCTAATGTAGTAAGTCTTTTGGTGGTTGGTTGGTTTTTCCTCACGATCTATTGCAGGGGTGGAGAAACTCAGGCCCGGGGGCTGCATCCTGACCCTGGCTTGCCTGATTCTGGTCCCTGAGGCTCAAGGCTCCTCCCAGCATTGGGGGGTAGGGTGCATGGAGCTAGAGCACACAAAATCCACTAGTCCTCTCCCCCCTCCCTCCCCCCGCAGGCTCTGGTGTACAAGGGGACAGTGGGGAGGGTCTTTCTTCCTTTTCACTCGGGGGCCATATCAGTGAGGATTTGGGTGGGCTTTTTTTGCTTTACACTTGTGTGTGGCCTTCAACTGATTTTTCTGTGGGTCAGTAGCCCCTGGTCCCCAAAAAAGCTTCCCCACCCCTGGGTCTATGTTTTTACATAAAAATGCAGGGGTAAAAAAGACTCCATTTTTGGAAACTTTCAGTCTGACAGCCTAATCACACTCTCACAGAATGTACCTTTCCCTGTGGTAAAATGGAATATATTTTCTGGGTTATGCACCAGAAATCAGTCAGAGAGGAGAGGGACACCAAAGGAACTTTCTATTTCTTCGGAACATACGAAGATAAAGCTCACAGCCTGAATTCCTCTCGGCTAGAAGAAGTGACATAACAAAAGTCTCTCAGCTAAAAGGCAGATGGAATGCCCATGAGAAAAGTGAATAAAACCACCTCCCTCAGGAATCTTCAAAGGCTCATGTATTCACTCTTGGTCACACCTTGAGCATCAGGCCAGCTGGTGCCCTTTGGAATAAAGTCCTCCCGGAGACTAATATTTTTGGCTGGTCTCTGTTTACTGTAAGGAAAGCAGAACTGCCTCCAGATTGTGTCCTTTCAAAAATCCCTCTCTGCGGATTGCTGGAGAGGAAGGATTGTTACGTGATTAAGACGCTTGATTTAGGAGACCTCAGTTCTATGCTTGGATATACCCAACGGCTTCGTGTTAGACCTTGAGTAACACACTTAATATCCGTGTGCCTCGGCCCTGTGTCTGTAAAATGGATAATAATAGCACTTAATCTCTGCCTATTCCAGTTAGGCCTTGTCCACACTACCTAATTTATGCAACTTCAGCTACGTGAATAACATAGCTGAAGTTGAAACAAAATACAGGACTATGTAGCACTTTAAAGACTAACAAGACTAACTAATAAACCATCTTGTTAGTCTTTAAAGTGCTACATAGTCCTGTATTTTGTTTCAGCTACACCAGACTAACACGGCTACATTTCTATCACTATAGTTGAAGTTGACATTGTTAGGTCTGCTTACCGTAGCGTCTTCATGGCAGCTAGTCAAGAGCTGATGCTTTCCAAGTGACTCCACCTATTCTCATTTTGGTAGAGTACCAGAGTTGACAGGCGAGCATTCGGTAGTCAATTTATCATGTCTGTACTAGACATGATAAATCGACCCCTGCTGGATGATTGCTACCCATTGATCAAACAGGTACTGAAGACATGCCCTTCGATGGTCAACTCCTTGGTGCAGGAACTGTCTCACAATGCATTTGTACAGAAACTAGCACCATCAGGGCTTGGGTTTGGCGGGAGCCTCTTAGCACTTCAATAATCAATAACAAAAAAAAGTCTACTCTTCAGAAACATATTAGTCATGTTCAGCCAGTAGCTAGTCTCATACTTGAGGTTAAATGTAAGCATTTTCAAATTAATTCACACTGTCTCATTTTGACCTTCATCCACGTGAACTTCCTAGTGAATGGCTTTCCTAGAAAACATTAGTCATCTTCCTGACTGAGGATTAATGTTATCTGGACCATATTTATATTTTAGCTCAAATGCCTTGGTTCCAACAGACAATCAGAATCGCTGCTCCATAGTAGATTATCTGAGAATATATTATCTGACAGGTCACTATTAAAAAAAATATCAAAAATTGACAGCATTTAACATGTATTATTTTTTGAGATTACGACAGTGCTTCTACCTACTTGGACTAGAAGATATCTGTGGAATCTCTGTGGTGACAGGTGGAAAAAGTTGGTTTTCTAGCGCTCATGGTTGCAGAGAAAAGCTTGAAAATGTGAACTCTACGGCTCTATTTACATTGACGCATGAATTTTAACTAGGCTGGGCAGAATTTAATATCTATACATAATGTTAATGAAGAATATCAATGTGCACAATTTTTTATTACATTTTTATCCACCTGTTGGAAATGATGGGGGTGGCCATGCAATGAAGGGCTGAGGGTGTCAGGCAATTGTTTAGTGAGAGAAGACATCGAGACTGAAAAAGGTAAAGCTTGATGACCATTGCATTCTAACGATCATTATCATATGACAAACCACAGTGGGGCAGGAATGGTTTTAAGAGTGGTGATGCTGATACCCCTGCTGACCCCGTCCTTTCCCCTTCCCCAGCTAAGGCCAGAAGTAAAGTCCTGGCATGCCAGGCCAACAGCCAGGACCTGGAGACTGGGGCTGACAGCAGAGCCCCTAGTATTCGGGACTGAAGCAGAGCCCCTGGCATGCAGGGCTGGCAGTAGAGCCCTGGGTGTGCAGGGCAACAGCTGGAAGCCCAGATGTGGAGTTGGAAGCAAAGCCCCCAGAGTGCAGGGATGCTAGGGTTACCAGGTGTCCGGTATTGAACCGGACAGTCCGGTAGTTTCACCTCCTCCGGTAAAAAAAAAATTGAGAAAATACTGGACACCTAAAATGTCCGGTACTTTCTGATTTTTTCCCGGTCAGGAGTCAAAACCCCAGGTGCTTACCGGGTTCTGCAGGAAACTGTCCTGCCCGGTGCAGGGAGGCAAGATGGCTAGCAGCCTCAAAAGCATTTCTTAAAGGAGCCACGCTGTTTGTTATTTATTTATTTATTTATTTGTTTGTTTATTTTGCTCAACAACTTTGGTCTTCCCCCTTTTTTTCCCCCTCAACAGAATTTTTTCCCCGGTGGCTTTTATTTATTTATTTTGGGGGAGGGGCATTTGGTATTTTTGGTTATACCATCTGGCAACCCTAAGGGATGCAGCTGGCACCCTGGGCACTAAGTCGTGAGTTTGAGGGTGCTCCAGCATCCCCCCTCCCACATCCTTAGTTCCAGTGCCTATGTAAAAATATCCCAAATAAATATCCTTCCACCAAATTCTACTGTGTTTTCAAGTAGCACTTCCCTGCCTCTGCTCATCAGTAAACTTCAGTTGTCCTAGATGGAAACACGTTTTCTCCATTTGCTCTTGTTCGGTAAGACTAATATTTACTGACATTTACTGATAAAAATATAATCTTCCAAGTCTAATTTTAAGACCTTCACAATATTTTGGGAAACACTTGGGGTTGGCAGTACTGCAGTCTGGATCTAAGAAGGGCTTTCAGCTGTGGTTTGGAGAAGGGAGGAGCTGAAGCAGAGGTAGCAGACGGGCAGAAAACCATAGAACCACAAAATATTAGAACTGGAAGGGAACTTCCCACACGACAGGACCAAGCACCATCTAGATCAGCACTGAGAGATGTATGTCCAGCCTTGCAAACAGTTCTGGGCCCACCCCCACTACAAAAAGGATGTGGACGCATTGGAAAGGGTCCAGCAGAGGGCCAATCAAAATGATTCGGGGGCTGGAGCACATGACCTATGAGGAGAGGCTGAGGGATTTGGGTTTGTTTAGTCTGCAGAAGAGAAGAGTGAGGGGGGATTTGAGAGCAGCCTGCAACATCCTGAAGGGAGGTTCCAAAGAGGATGGAGAGAGGCTGTTCTCAGTGGTGGCAGATAGAACAAGGAGCAATGGTCTCAAGTTACAGTGGGGGAGGTCTAGGTTGGATATTAGGAAAAACGATTTCTCTAGGAGGGTGGTGAAGTACTGGAATGGGTTCCTAGGGAGTGTGGTGGTGGAATCTCCTCCCCTAGAGGTTTTTAAGTCTCGGCTTGATAAAGCCCTGGCTGGACTGATTTAGTTGGGATTGGTCCTGCCTTGGGCAGGGGGCTGGACTCGATGACTCCTGAGGTCTCTTCCAGCTCTAAGGTTCTATGATTCTATTAACCTGCTCTTAAATATCTCCAGTGATGGGGATTCCACAACCTCCCTGGGCAATTTATTCCAGTGTTTGACCATCCTCACAGTTTGGAAGTTTTTCCAAATGTCCAACCTAAATCTCCTTTGCTGCAGTTTAACCCCATAGCTTCCTGTCCTATCATCATTTTCTCCCTCCTCCTTGTAACACCCCTTTAGATACTTGAAACCTGCTCTCATGTCCCCTCTCAGTCTTCTCTTTCCCAAACTAAACAAGCCCAGTTCTTTCAGTCTTCCCTCCTAGGTCATGTTTTCTAGGCCTTTCATCATTTTTGCTGCCCTTTTTTGGACCTGCTCCAATTTCTTCACATCTTTCTTGAAATGTTTCAGAGGGGTAGCCATGTTAGTCTGTAATAGAAAAAAACTTAAAGAAATACCCAACAACAAATAGTTCTGCAGCACCTTAGAGACTAACAAAAAAAATGCAGACGGCATCAGGAGCTTTCATGGGCATAGCCCACTTCTTCAGATGAATGGAGCTTACGGGGTCCAAATTCCATATAAATAGCAGAGAAAGAGAGGGGATGGGGAGGGAAAGGAGAGGAGAGGAGAGGAGAAAGAAATGGGAAAAGAACAGCCAATTAGAGTGTCCATGCTAAATAAAGCTGATAGAGTGGGTTCTAAGTAAGAACATAAGAACGGCCAGATTGGTCAGACAAAAGGTCCATCCAGCTCATTACCCTGTCTGCCGACAGTGGTCAATGCCAGGTGTCCCAGAGGGAGTGAACTGAACAGGCAATGATCAAGCCATCTCTCTCCTGCCATCCGTCTCCACCCTCTGACAAACAGAGGTTAGGGACACCATTCCTTACCCAGCCTGACTAATAGCCATTAATGGACTTAACCTCCATGAATGTATCTAGTTCTCTTTTAAACCCTGTTATAGTCCTAGCCTTCACAACCTCCTCAGGCAAGGAGTTCCACAGATTGACTATGCGCTGTGTGAAGAAGAACTTCCTTTTATTTGTTTGAAAGCTGCTGCCCATTAGCTTCATTTCACTTAAGTACTTTCAAGTACCCGGTGTTTGGCTTTTTGTGTCAGTAGGATGTGGAATGTAGCGGGTAATCCAGTTAAGGTCTTTGTTTAAGTCTCTATGGCAGGTACCAAACTTGTAAATGAAATTAAGCTCTGCAGTTTCCCTTTCTAGTTAAGGCCCACTAAATAACACTCAGAGGTGGTCCCATCAGCCTCGGTTCTCCTGCTCCTCGTGTGCTCCTATCAACCTCCCACCTTGGAGATGGTGGGGAAACTTGAATTAAGGTATGGCGACTCCAGCTAGGTAATTAACATACATTGCGTACCCTTAATTCAACCTTCCTCTGATTTCAACAGGAGTTAGGCACCTAAATATTTTTGAGGACCCGGGCCATAGGTCTTTTTCCAAAGCCCACTGAAGTCAATGGGCCCCAGTAGAGCAAAATATTTAAGCGCGTGATTAAAACCCATCTCTGTTCTGCAAAGCTTTTAAGCATCTGCTGAAGTCCTGTGTCAAGCCAATGCTGAAGTGCTTTGCTGAATGGGAGCCAATCCGCCGACTTCAGTGAGTTTTGCATCAGGCCCTAAAGCTTTGTGCCTCAGTTTCTCCATCTGCAAAATAGGCATAGTCACTCAGAGGGGCTTGTAAAAGAATTAACGACTGGCGGTATATTATTTTGAAACTGTGTCTTGTAAGGCCGTGTTAACATCTTATTGCTATTGCTTTGAGAGTATTTCCAAGATAAGTCATTCCAAACTATTATTATTTTGGCTTTGCGATATTAGGTCATGATGGCACGCGACCAAATGGGCAACAAAGTGCCTCTACATTACCGATCAATATTCTGAAACAGGGTTACTGAACTACCCTAAATTAGAAACTTTTCTACTGCATCCAGCTCTTGCCCACCATCACACAGCATTATTTTCTACTCTAATATGGTTTGGTTTCTACTCCTAGCATATGATTATAGTGGTTAATGCAATCAGAAATACATTACATAGAAAATTCTTATTGCATTAATGTTGGCACCACTCCGCTATTTGCCTTGTGTTCCCTCAGCCACCGTCTCCTCCGTTCCTCTGTAAAAGGTAACTCTGACTGACGTGCCAAGATTATATCTTTTTTAAAGAACTGATGATGACTTTTCAACGAACCCAGGAAGCCGTAATTACACCGCTGATGAACGTAAATTTATAAGGAAAACATGCAGCACGACTCGCTCGTCACCAAAAGAGCGAAGAGAGTGTTTACAATCACAAAACCCCTGTTGCATGCAAATAGCGTCAAAGATTAATCCATGTCAGTTGCACAAATTGAAATAGGTACACAGAGTACATATTTGCTGGCAGAGAAAATGATCAGTGACACCGCTGAGAAGAATAGGTAAGCAAGAGACCTCATGCTACCGAAGGCATTTCTGCACAGGAGGGATGTTAAATTTCGATGTATCGACTAATTGAGTAGTCAATAGAATTTCCATCAACGACTCGATTAGTCGATTGAATTTCCATCGACTACTCAATTGGTCAATAAAGGGGGATACTCACCATCCCACTGTGCCTCTCCCTTTGAAATATACAAGAACCGCCAAAGGAAGAGGAGCAGCAGTCGGGACTGGTGCGAGTGGGACTTTCAATCCCCGCTCTCACCATTTCCCCGCTGTCCTCTGCCTCCCCTGCTCCACCATCTATCTCCAGTGATCGAGATTCTGTAACCTTCCTAGGCAATTTATTCCAGTGTTTAACCAGTTAGGAAATTTTTCCTAATATCCAACCTAAACCTCCCATTGCTGCAATTTAAGCCCATTGCTTCTTGTCCTATCTGTACTATTATTATTTTGAGAATTTTGGTATCGCCAAGGAAACTGTGTCATGGATCAAGACTCATTGGGCTATGAAAACACAGAAAAAAACACCACTACAGGTTGAACCTCTCTTGTCCAGCACCATTGGAACCTGATGGTGCTGAACCAAAGAATTTCCCAGACCGCAGGAGGTCAGTGCTGTCTAGCAGCATTACCAACACTTCTACTGCTTACTGGGCTCTTAGAAGACATTTAGGGTAAATCAGAGCTAAATAACAGCACAGAACTTTGAGAGCCAGGACTGGTGGTTGCAAACAAACTTCATGGGACCACAGAAAATTTGGCTACACCCATGAAAAGTGGACATCCAGCTAACTAAAATCATACTGGATGATGGAGGTTGCTGGTTCAGAGAACGCCGGACTAGAGAGGTTCAACCCATAAAGTCAATAGGACTGTACAAGAGAGCAGAAAACTGCCCATCTGTCATTTATGCTCAGGACATAATCTTCAAATACTCAATCTTTAGGTAACCAGAAACTTTTTTATAAACCAAACAACATAATTAGCCTTCAAGGAGAACTTTTCTTTTCGCCATCCCAATGCTCGTTTGCGCTTCAGACCTTTTGACTCAGCCCTTCCAAAAAAGAGCATTGCTTGATTTTGTGGTTCGTACTGTTAGAGATAAATTACATCTTTTCACCTTCACAAAATTAACCCCCCCCCCCCCCCCCACCACTCTCACAGGGT